TAAATTGGATTAGTATTGGTTTTAGTTAAACTGATTCGAACCGAACTGTTGTGATCCCTAGCAGAAGTACAAGGAAAAAAGTATTCTGGCTAATGAATAAAAACTGACTTCATAGATACCAGCTTTTTTTCCACTTCCTGCACTTGCATCTTCAGATCTTCGATCTCATAGCGCATTTTCTTATTTGCACTAATCCACCTACTATAATCATTTTCCACCTCGCATAAACTTCTCAAAAGTTAGTCTATTATAATCGAGCACATGTAGATATAACACTTAAGTTCATTCATAACCTGGCGATTATTTTCCTCTTCATGATTACAGGCGATATTGTTAGTCTAAGTATTATTACCCTCGGGCTCAGTGCACTTTCACATATAGTCGAAAATGCTGGGGATACATTACATTCTGACCAACTTCGGGGATGCAATGTTTTTTCCTGAATCATAGTTTGTGTTTCCTATTTAACGAATTCTCATAAACCTCTAATGTGTGCCTCAAATAGGATTCAATTCGTTTAGACTTTCCAGAAATAGATTCTAATGGAACAGGATCTTTAAAATGGTGCAAGAGTCTCTGGCAAGCTCTCTTGACAAGACTTTCTGATAGTCTATCAATAATATGTTTATAGTCAGAATGAACATTTTATTAGATATAGTTTTGCACAAAAAAAGATTGCATGCAAATTCATCTATAGACTATAGTGGTACTATTTTTATGCGCCTATATCACGGGTTGCATCATATCTGGTAAAGACTCTGATCGCGTGATCAATGGTCAAGTTTTTTATCACATGATATGGATAGCAAATTTTTTTAATTCGTTGTGTTTGCTTATCTTCCAATTCCGCAACTCTGGCCTTGAGCTCATCATTCTTGACCTCAAGCTCGGCAATATGTTGTCTCAATGAATTCAAAATTAAAAAATTATATGTTTTCCGAGACCACGCGGTCGCGGAAATTTGTCAAGAAAAATTTATTATCTGGTGTGTGAAGTTAAATTTGTGAAATAAACCACCAGGGTCAGTTTTATTATAATACAAACAATAATAGTACATCTATGGCTGAAGTCGCTAAAGCTAAAGAATAGGTTCATCTATAATTTCGCAAGACCTGCCAGTGGTATCCCGAAATCTGGCACTTATCCTCACATTTTTAAACTCCTTATCATGTTAGAAGTGAATGACATTTAATCCTCTTACCTGAAGTTTTTCACATGGCCAATATGGGTCAGATACAACAAAATCTTCACAGGAGAAGTGTAAGATCCAGATCTCTCGAGGATGAAGTTGCTTTTCATACTTAAACACTTGTTTGAAATGGACGTTTAGTTTAGGAATTGATGCCTTCGAGAAGAGCTTCCAGATGGGGAGTATCAGCTTCTTTATAGTTGGGTCGCAATAAAGATGATGGTAGTTCCCATCATCACAAACTTGTTCAGGATGCTACTGGCCGGTGATCTCATATCCATGGATCTTTCTTAACCAATTTACTAGAACCCAGTATATTTCAGCATCGTATGTACTTTTCCTTGGAACTTTGATATAATGCTCAGAATTTACATACAAATGATTGGAACTTTTGTATGAGCAGGAGGATCCTAGTGTTATTATACCTTGGTCGAAATTATGTACTGCGGTCTTTAGATTCTTCAAAATGTCTATAGATTTACTATCCTGCAATGGGATATTTGTAGGAACATTCAAAACTTTACTAATACTTCGTTTTTTAGTGACAGGAGCAGATGAATCTAATTTTTATCAAAAGGTACATAACCGAATTCTCCTTATGAAACAGTAGACCTTTAACAAAAGTATCACCAAATAATCTCACATCTAAAAGAATAAATATGCTAAAGCACTGCAATAACCGAGGGCTTATATATGTATATCCCAAGTGAAAGCTTCTTGTGCTTAACATACCATATCTAAAAAATGCGTGTTTGGACCTGTGATATGGAAAATACTTACCTTTTTATTAAATAAGAGATTTCTAACAACCTCGAAGATCTGCGAGGTCATCGGATCACGAAAAATATATAATGTATTGTAAAATACTATATGTATCTCGTTTCTTTCGGTAGGTCCAAACATATTAGTTGACCAGGATATAAAATGCTGAAGAGACCACGTACCGTATGGAAAGAGCCAAAAGTATTCAATTTTGCCTTTTTCGAAAGCTCTCGTTCCCTCTTTTAATATCTTAACTTATTTTTCAAGCTTCATAGCAGGTCCCCGCTTTATACCATCTCTTATAAACTTTTTTTTTCGGTCATGTCTAGAAAGGTTTGGCCATCTATTTTCTGCTTACAAAGGATCTTGAAATTATCCTCAAGATTTATGTTTAGGTCACGTAAGAAAATAATAAGAGTCTCGGTATTTCAGTTTCCAGTCAACATACATGCTTTTAGAAGTAGAAAACCCAAAATAAGAAATACTTACCCCTATGATTTATGGCAGGTGTGCTTTCGAGTGAAATTTTCGAATTATGTATAATTCACGTGATCGACACGTAACGAATTTCGCGAATTTCGTGGAATCAACATTGCTCTAATATAATTTAAGTTAAATTTTTGCATAATAAAAATATAGATAAATAATTAATTATTTTAAATACTTTTATAATTTAACAAAAACTATTATAAATTAAATAATAAATAATGAAAATAATAGCATATATAATATAATTTATTCTTTTTTTAATAGGATTGTTAAGATATGAATTTCTTAAAAGTGTATAATATTTTTTATTTTTTTAATTTGTATTTTTGAAAAATCAATAAAAAGTTTTTTATAATAATAAAGTTTTATTTATCAATAAATTAAAATAATTAATAGCTGTTGTTAATTTAATACTTAATTTAAACTAATGTTATCAACTTTACTGAAAGTGATTATTTTTTAACAATGTAGTAGCAATGTAGTAGCAGTGTAGTAGCAATATAGTAGTGATGTCAATTTTTTTAAAAAATGGTAGTGTAGCAGTAGCAATTTAAATATAATTCTGTTACTATATTGTAATGTAATAGTAACAATATAGAAACAAAGTA